GTGCAGTGTAGGAGGCTGTGGATCAGCAGGCTGCCCATAGCCCTCTGTGAAAACCAGAGGATCACTGAAGATAGGTCTTCTAGGCTTAAAGACATTCCTGTTGAGAGGTCTGGCTTCCTAACACATGCTACATGTAAGGTTAAGTCACTGTCTATTTTAACTTGTGCTGTAACTCTAATTACTTTCTTCAACAGTGCTAAATCCTCGTGTTCCAGTTCTGGCAGACAAATGTCAGATAAGAGTTTATACAGGACTTCACCTAGTAGACCATCTGTGATGGTAGACTCCCAAAATGGTGCTGAAGTATAGTTGAAGTCCAAAACCTTTTATGATTATATGTGGAGGCATTGACTTTTTATTTTATATTTTCACATTTTATTTTTGTCATTCATGGGGCTTGAACTTAGAGCCTGGGCACTGTCTCTGAGCTTCTTTGCTCAAGTCTAGTGCTTTACTACTTTGAGCCACAGCGCCACTTCTGGTTTTCTGCTAGTTAATTGGAGATGAGACTCTCACAGACTTTCCCGTCCAGGCTGGCTTTGAACCATGATCCTTAGATCTCAGCCTCCCGAGTAGCTAGGATTACAGGCGTGAGCCACTGGTGCCCACCCATAGCTTTTAAAAAGACAATTAAGTTCAAAGGAGGTCTTAGGAAGGGCCCTAATCCAATAACTGGTGTCTTATTAGGAAAAAGAAATTAAGCACAGAGTGAAGATACGGGAAACTGGCCAATTTTAAAGCCAAAGAGAGATGCTGCAGATGACAGCAACCTTGACCTCAGAATAGAGTCTAGAAAACAAGCCTACAGAAAACGGTGAGCAAATACTCTTCTGCTCTTTAATCCACCTGAGCTGTGGTAGTTTGCTACAGCAGTCCTAGCCAGCTAATCATACTATCCTACTACATACAGCTGACACATGATAAAAGAAGGCAAGCATCTGGGAAGAAAGAATAAGAGAAGAAAACAAATTTCTGTCTTGAAATAAAGACCAAACCTTGAAGTAAAATGCCAACGAGTGGCTCCTTCCCTTTGCTTCCAAGGTAATTTGACCAGGTTGGTGGTGACATGCAGGCCATACTACACTTCAGGCCACACCACACCACACTTCACTGCTGCTGAATCTTCTTTCCCCAACACTCTCTAAACCCATCCAGGGCAGGGAGCAGCAGCTATCCATCTTGCTTCCCCTGACACAGGATCTACAGGTGTGTATTGTTTTTACTGTCGTTGAATAAGCAACACAAAAAAGGGTTCCATTGAGAAAAGTAAAAGACTTCCTGGCTCCCCCCCACACTTCCTATATTTTTCTGCAGACCTCAATTTAGGCAACTAGGCAAAGATTTCAAGTGATTCACGTCTTCCCAAACTGTTCACTTATCCCTACTCAGGCCAAGGCACCATGGAATGAAGCAGACAACTAGGACCATTTCGTGCTGCTATCCGGGAAATGGATTTTTTACTTCATCTATTGCCACAATATTCTTCTAAAACCTCCTTTGGATCCATTATGCCATCTGTGTACATTCTGCAGCGGTTACGGTAATAATGCCAAAGTCCCACAGAAATAAGATTTTTAAAAATGTTATGTAGTTACAGTGAGCATTCAGTAAACACTTCACCAAAGTGAATAACAGTCCTTGACCATTTTAAAGGAAAGGGAAAAATACCAAATGGGGTTAATACACATTATGGACTAATGGCCTGTAAACTTTCATTTGAAAGCAAAGCACATAAAAAGCTTTGACACAGCTACTTTTCACTGTAAAAATAAATAAACCTCTTTCAAATAATTTGTATGTGTTTTTTCCCCCAAGTCAAACTGCCAAGTTTCAAACAAAAATTAAATCCACCATCCTGTTACAACTTTTAAAATGCAGGCCTTATAATGAAAATGGTAAAAACAATCTCAGTGAAGGAAATGTTGCCAGGTACTGACAATAAAGGAAGAGAGTCTACAACAATACTTCATATACCAGCAACAAGGTACTTGTTAACAGATGATCCTAGGATTTCATTGTAATGATACCACTATCATTTTTCACAAGTTTTTGATGTTAACATCTACTGGTGTTCTGTTCTTGATCCAAAGTGAGTAAGTATATTTGTGCTGCAGTTCCAACAGATTTTAAATTCATTTTTAAGTACTAGTCCTTCCTTGAGCAACAAAGAAGACCAAATTTCACTTCAGCTTATAAAAGAAGTGAATTTTATACACATTATATTAACTTAAATATATAGAACTTCCCCTTATAATGTTTTCCTTTGGACCACAGAACCACTGACTATTTTTGTTCTTCCTTCCCCGATGACTTGTAATAAGTTCTTTTTGAAAATCTAGAATCCATCCAACTGTTCTGTTCAGGGTATCTAGGAGAGGGGTTTCCAAATTTGGCTGCCCATTAGAATTATCTGAAAGGGCTTTCTAAAAATGTATTGGTGTTTAAGCTTTATCTCTATCTCATACATGAATTTGAGTGTTTAAGCACAGAATCTGTGAACTTTGATTTTTTGATATGCCTCAAGCAACACAAAGGAGACAGTTATCAGATGCATCTGATCCCCTGGTATTTATGACCGGGAATTTGAGTTCAAATCCTACCACCAAGCTAGGCACTAGTAGCTCACACCTGTAATCCTAGATGCTCAGGAAGCTGACGCCTGAAGATTATGGTCTGAAGCCAGCCCAGGCAGGAAAGTCCATGAGAATCTTATCTCCAATTAACCACACACACACAAAAAGGTGAAGTGGAGATGTGACTTAAAAGTGGTAAAGCACTAGCCTTGAGCTAAAAAGATCAGGGATAATTCTCTAGGCTCCAAGTTCAAGCTTCAGGACTGGTTGCTCACACACACACACACACACACACACACACACACACACACTCACACACACACACACGCACGCATGCACACAGGCGCACGCACACAGGCGCACGCACACACACACACTCTACCACTAACAAATACCCTGATACCACTTAGCATTATTGCATGATCTGTCATTGCCCTAAGTGTGTAAAACTCACTCCTTCCTAAACTATAATTTAGGAATAATAAGCAGGATGAAGCTCAAAGAAAAAAATGGTTTCAATAGCTCAAATTCAACAAATAAAACAAAAGTGTTCTTGGAACATTTCACAAAGTTCCTTCTGTCAGACCCATACATTTTGTACCCTTCTTGTTCCATTTTATTTCATCTTCTGACAATGTAAAAGAGCCTGTCAATTCTCTTAGTGCCATTTTTTTGCCCTGATTTGCTGAATAGTGTATTAGAAACAGACAAAAACAACAACAAAAAAGCATCCCAAATTTTAAACTTTTAAAATGGTAAAACAGTAAGCAGTGTGAATATAGAGATTCTAACAATAGATTTTCCTCTTTTACAAGCAAAAAGCTTCCAAGTGGCTACCATATTTTCTCCTATCTTTTTTTTTTTTTCCAGGGAAACCGTGCATGCTACTGAATGTTCTCCAAGAAGCTGGGCTAAGTCTCCAAATGTTCTGGCTAAAATTTTCCATGTCTCCAAGAGTCACTGGACTTTATGAAAACTGCTGATCATGAAATACCCCAATCTGGGCTCTCAGGGAAGAAATTTAGAGCTGTATGGAAGAGGATTCAGTCCCTGGAGAATATAAAGTCATCTAGGGAACAACCGAGGATGGATAGATTCAGAAGATAATAATGGGGAAACAAGTTCTAATATATTCATTCCCCAAACAGCTAACTGACCTGACAAACAGACCATTTATCAGAGAATCAGTATTTAATTTTTCCAACTCAAAAACCACCTCTAAGAAAAAAATCACTGGGGCCAAAAGAAAAACAGCTATTAAATGATATTATAATAAATATATTAGCCAAGAACAAATTTCTACAACCGAGTTATTTATTAATGAATAGAAGGAATTTCTTCTCTATGTAACCTTCACTAATTCTTCAAAATTAAGCTGTGGAGATGCTTGCTGAACATCTAAAGACAAAAGACTAATATTTAAACCACGTCTTTCCTTAGCTGTAAAATATTTTATATCCAAGGACAGAAAAACCAACTCAAGACATTAGTAATTTCTGTCCTACCTTGGAGATAGAACAAGTGAAGTTAATTATGTCTGGGATTGACTGCAGACCAAATCAAGGGCTGCATTTTGATTCTTAGGTGAGAAAATCCTGCAATGGTTGTCGATTTTTCTGTGCTGTTGAAGTTGCCTCCAGTCCCAATACCGACCAACAAAATGCTGAATTGATATTCGCTGACAAACAACATAAACACTCTGTAGGTAACTAATAAGAAAAATGTGTAAATTTGCCTTTTTTATTTTTTCCAGGTAATAGAAAAGTTGTCAATGTGATTTTCAGGTAGGAAGAAAAACCATGCACTTGTCACGACATTTTCAAATACTTTAAGTTATGTAACAAAGCTTTTCCCAGACCCATTAAGTCCCACGGTGCCTGAAGTCTTGTATAAGGAAACACCGGGTGCAAAGGTTCCAGGCAGCACCTGATCATATGGGCTGAGGTACCTATATACTCTCTTAGGATGGAGTCAATAAAAGAACTCCACCCCATTCCTCTCTCTCAAAATGAACCTAGGCTTTTAGTGAACAGCAGAGACACACTCCAGGTCTATTTTTTTGTGGTAATATCTGGTTTTTGTAGGCCCAATGATCACGTTGCCTTATGCTTACTTTATTACAATTACTAAACTCTATAGAAAATAGCATTTTCAAAATATAGCACTTAAAGAGTCCTTTCTGTACCGTTCCTCCCCCAAAGCTTGGCTTTAATAGAGAACAATGAGAGACAGGCTGTGGGGGCCAAAGCTGGGGATTCCTATGCCACCGCCCCTCATGCAGGGGATCCCTGTGTTCACATAAGCCCCCACAGCCTGCTTCTGAGACAGCAATGTGATGCTGCGCGAACAGCCTGACACAGTAGGTCTGGCTTTTATGATGCAAATTTCCACTTTAAACTCAAAGGTAATTACAGTATTTTAACGTACCTTTCTCATGATCGGCAAATTTCTCCAGTGCATAGTCCACATCAAAAATGTACCGGTAAAAGCACAGCTGGGTGTACAGGGACTTGTCAGAATACTGCAATATAACAGAAAATAAATGAATACTACTATTGGGCGGTGCAATGGAGATCACTCTCAGCAGAGTGTATTCCCTAATTTCAA